ATTGGGAATTGATAGGTATTTAGGGGATTGAGATAGAATTGGGGAAGAACAGAATTGGGGATTAGGAATTTAGAAGAGGAAATTGGGGATCGAGGAGAAGAATGGTCGACGGCCTAGGGATAGGTGACGAAGTTGAGAGAGATTAGGATTTGAGATACTTTTCTGAATAATTGTTCTTGCTTGCTTCTGAATAAAACGCAAAGTACATATTTATAACGAAAGATAGGAAAACCTAATACTAATCCTAATTCTACTAAAAGACTACTAACCATATTTAAATAAACCTAATAATAACAAGAGTTAATGCATAATGTAGCCCCTGAACTATCACATTTTCCTATTCAAGCCCTCTAACAATTTATTTTCCTATCTAGGTTCCTTAAATATTTTATTTTTCCTAATCCAGCCCTGCCGTTACTTTTCTAACGGTTTGACGTTAATAGAAATAGAAAAAGACGAAATTGTCCTTAATAAATTTAAAGAGAAAATAATTAAAAAAAAACAAAGCCCCACGTTTTACAACCCGGCCACCACTGCTATATACTCATTTCCTATCATAAGTTGACGATATTATGTTTATTCTCAATTATGGTTATTTATTCTCAATTCTTAATTAATCATGGTTATGCTTTTTCCCGTTGATGATGGTTATGCTTTTTTACACTATGCATCAACTAGTGTAAAAGCATAACCAGATCGGACAAACTTCCCCCTAACATGGTACACAAGCATTATCCCCATAATCTCTATCCAAGAAACCTTCAATTGTTAATATTAAATTATTAATTTGATCAAGCCTTATATAACAATAATAATAAACTATTCACATGGAGACAACTCACAGAGAAAACAAAAGACCAAGGTGTACAGAGAGCAACATAAAGATTGGAAGGCATGATTCATATGGGTAACGGAAGAAACAAATAAAAACAGGACGAACCAGAGAGAGTAGCTAGGGAAGACCACCACGTTCCGAAGTCCAACGTCGGAGATGAAAATTCAACCGGCGCCGTCAATGGAAATTCAGCCAAGAAGACGAAGCGCTGAGCGCAGGGATCGAGAGTTCTCTATTTGCATAGGAAAAGAGTAACGGCGGGGTTGTGTTAGGTTAAACGTGGGGTTTTTTTTATCTTTGGTATTTTTTTCTCTTCAAAATTTATTAGGGCAATTTTGTCCTTTTGATTTGTATTAACGTCATATTGACAGAAAAGTTGACGGTTAGGCTGGATTAGGAAAAATAAAATATTTAAGGAACCTAGATAGGAAAATAAATTGTTAGAGGGCTTGAATAGGAAAAAGTGATAGTTCAGGGGCTACATTGTGCATTAACTCTAATAACAATAATGATAATGCTGATATAGAAACCCGTTTTCCTTATAAAACGTGTTTCTAACACATTTACATAATGTAATTGTTGATGCCAAGCTTAGAGCAGCCTGCTTCAATATGTTTAGGTCCGGAGAGCGCTGATTTTCCAAAGCCTTTAACCACCTCCAGCTCCGTGCGAATACCTGAAAAAAAGGGGGGGGGGGTCCTGGTTGGAACCTCCTCCGACGCTCAAATTAGTAATCTGAATGGAATAAAATAAATACGATGACGTTAGACCTGGTCCGATCCCACGGTCGTGATTGAGCGCTGTCGGCTATTTAATGCCGCCCGGTGGAGACTATCCACGATTCCATGGCTTAGTCCGCCAAATTGAGAGTGTGTTGAGTGTTTAGAGATTTAACACGTTTTTGGGAGATCGGGAGGAGAGAGAAAACTTTTTTAGAGAGAGAAAGTAGAGAGAGTGTATATTGTGTGTGAGTTGTGTTGTGTGAAGTAGTCGTAAGCGACTTATGTGGTGTGTGTCACTTGTTGTTGTGAGAAAGGGGGAGGGGTGCTCTCTATTTATAGGAAAAAGTCGTAGTTGAATTACTCAACTTACGTTAACATTCACCAACATTCTCCGCTATACTCCTATACTCGTTAATATTCTCCGCTATACCTCAATATTCTCCGTCATACACCAACATTCCTTATCAAGTATTGAGAAAGTGTAAGGGTGTATGTGAAAGTAGGAGAAGTATAGATATGTAGTGGAAATTGAAGGAAAGAGTAGGGATGGGAATTGCATGTATGTGTATGCATGAACATGCATGTAAATGAAGATAAATGAAAGTGTAGGAAATGGTAGGGAGAAGAAGGAAGTTTACGTAAGAGGGAGTGTGGAAAGAAATAGTAAGGGAGGGATATGAGGTGGCGTCTGCCACTTGTGGGAGAAAGGGAAGGAAAGAGGGAGAAAGTGAAGGAAAGTTGGGGAAGGTTTACGAAAATAATAATAAACTAAGAGTAATAATAATAGGATATAATAAATTTAATTATTTAATAACCTTTTCATCACAATTGTGGTAAAAATAGGTAGGTTAAAGCAGGTGAATATCGGGTCCATCAATTGCCCCCTTGTCGGTAGAAAATCACGAGAAATTATTGTGATTTTGGCAGGAGATTATGGAAAATGATCGTGACTTTTCTATCGACAAGAAAATGACATAACATGTTTTAAAGAAATCGCTTTAATTATTCATATCCTCACTTTAATTTAGATCACGAGCATAGGACTTACTGGATATATATGTCTTCTTTTAGTATCTTAGCCTCAAAATTGTGGCATGAATATTTTTGCACATGTGAAGTTATTTTGGCACAACCTAGTGCATAATTTACCCAGTAATGAAGAGAGTGTAGAAATGATTACCAAATGAGGCGTAAATTTTGGAGTTTTACGTGACATATCCTAGTCGTCATGGAGAGATAGTTTGACTGTATTTGGTCCCACCACTTTGCGCATCTTGTAAGGACCTTCCTACTGGGGAGTAAAATTTCCCTGACTTGGAATGTTTTTGAAGTTTCTCCTGAGAACCCATTCTCCTTCCCGGACGGTTCGATTTCTCACTTTGACGTTGTAATAACGTGCGATCCTCTCTTTGGAAGCGACAAGTAGCATAAGTGCGTATTCTCGACGCTCCTCTATGAGATGTAGATCATGAGTGAGCTTGATTTGATTTTCATCGGGGTGGAATGGTTGGATTCTGTAAGAGGAGAGTTCCATTTCAATTGGCAGCATAATATTAGTGCCATATGTTAGTGAGTATGACATCTCCCCAGTGGAAGTTTTGTAAGTTGTTCGTCCAAAGCACATGTGGCAGCTCCTCGACCCATTGGCCCTTGGCTTGGCCTAATTCTTGAATTGTGCCCCCTAATCGATAATGGGGTTAGATTGCCCCACTATTGATTGTTGTAATAGGGCGACTCTCCGCTTTGATGGTAAGTATGATGGTAGTATCCTGAATATTCATCACAATGTGGCGGTGATTTTGTTAGACTTTGGCAATATTCTTCTCACCGGGCCCCACGGTGGGCGCCAATTGTTGATGCCAAGCTTAGAGCAGCCTGCTTCAATATGTTTAAAGTCCGGAGAGCGCTAATTTTCTAAAGCCTTTAACCACCTCCAGCTCCGTGTGAATACCTGAAAAAAGGTCCTATCGGGGGGGTCCTGGTTGGAACCTCCTCCGACGCTCAAATTAGTAATCTGAATGGAATAAAATAAATACGATGACGTTAGACTTGGTCCGATCCCACGATCGTGATTGAGCGCTGTCGGCTATTTAATGCCGCCCGGTGGAGACTATCCACGATTCCATGGCTTAGTCCGCCAAATTGAGAGTGTGTTGAGTGTTTAGAGATTTAACACGTTTTTGGGAGATCAGGAGGAGAGAGAAAATGTTTTTAGAGAGAGAAAGTAGAGAGAGTGTATATTGTGTGTGAGTTGTGTTGTGTGAAGTAGTCGTAAGCGACTTATGTGGTGTGTGTCACTTGTTGTTGTGAGAAAGGGGGAGGGGTGCTCCCTATTTATAGGAAAAAGTCGTAGTTGAATTACTCAACTTACGTTAACATTCACCAACATTCTCCGCTATACTCCTATACTCGTTAATATTCTCCGCTATACCTCAATATTCTCCGTCATACACCAACATTCCTTATCAAGTATTGAGAAAGTGTAAAGGTGTATGTGAAAGTAGGAGAAGTATAGATATGCAGTGGAAATTGAAGGAAAGAGTAGGGATGGGAATTGCATGTATGTGTATGCATGAACATGCATGTAAATGAAGATAAATGAAAGTGTAGGAAATGGTAGGGAGAAGAAGGAAGTTTACGTAAGAGGGAGTGTGGAAAGAAATAGTAAGGGAGGGAGATGAGGTGGCGTCTGCCACTTGTGGGAGAAAGGGAAGGAAAGAGGGAGAAAGTGAAGGAAAGTTGGGGAAGGTTTACGAAAATAATAATAATAGGATATAATAAATTTAATTATTTAATAACCTTTTCATCACAATTGTGGTAAAAATAGGTAGGTTAAAGCAGATGAATATCGGGTCCATCAGTATTTATAATCCGATAATTTTCCTATAACTACCCGTACTTCTTCCCAAGTAACAATTAATCAAATAACTCCAAAGTATCCCAAAAGTACTAAAACAATCCAAAACAACAAATTAACCAATGCTTAAATAAATGTATGATAATGCAGAAAGATTCTAGAAACTCGAGAAGACTCGGTTCTAGCATATTGCCTGCTTGCAAGTGATACTGTTGGTGACGTTAAGTATATGAGATGTCGTGCAAAGCAAGTTAGAAAGCTCGGGACAGATGCTGGATGGACACGACGATGTGATGGAAGTTGTAGCAGAAACCATGGTGGTGGCAGTGGCAGTGTCAGTTGCAGGCATAGCTCCAAACCTGTGGGAAAGCAGATGATGAGGAAGAAGACGAAGAAAAGCAGCAGCTCAAATCTCCATGGCCCCGTTGCAGTCGAAAACTTTGGACAATGCCACGGGTTGTAGGCTTGTAGCTGTACATAGCAGCAGGAACCAAGGGAGGAATGCAGACATCGTTTAAGAGGCTTCCATTGGGTCGAGAAGGGACTCTAATTGGGTGAGGAAATGCCTGATTCAAGCATCTCGTTTCCACAAACAATGAGTTTTGGCAAATTGGCGGCTGAAAATTTTGCATTCGACCCAATGAAAATACAATTGATTTCTCCTAGCAGTCACGTTGTTTTTCTTGTAAAAAATAGGGGGGAAAAGCGCTTGCAGGCGAATGACAGCAAGCTGAATCATGTTGCTAATTTCTCAATCCCCTACGCTTCGATTCATTGTTGTATACAGAATCAAATTACTGATCTCATGTGAAGCATATGAACAGCCTTCGCGATATATTGTTGTCAAAGTGGACAGGGCGTGCCTTGTGATGATGCTACAGCCACCATTCTTTCTTTCTTTAGTCTCTGTACTTCATCGTTTCCTTCTCGAAGCCTACAGTGGGGAATTGCTTTGCATACTCCTCAACATCATGACGAAGCTTTGCAATCTCAGATTGTTGTGCGTCTGACTTTAGAGCTGCGGTGAAGTCCTTCAACTTGGGTCCTGAAAATCAAATCCCCAAAGCACATCAGTCCAGCATGCATCTAAGAGATATATGGAATAGGCTAAAGGAAGAAATGACCCACCATTAGAATCAGCTTTGATCTTCAATGCTAACTTGACAGCTGCATCGAAGAACTCGGCTACTTTTTCAAAGTCTTCCTCAATGAACCCCCTGGATGTGAGAGCCGGTGTCCCTGAGAAAAACAAACCAATGAAGAGTAGTTCTACAAACTGTCTTTCAAGTGATGGAAGGTTGTGGTAGTCTGTTAGGGAAGGGAGGGGACAAAAGTCTTACCCATGCGAATACCACCAGGAACCATGGCTGACACATCCCCAGGAACTGTGTTCTTATTAGCTGCAATATGAACTGATTCCAAAACCTTTTCAACTCTTGACCCGTCGATACCCTATCACAAAAAGTTAATTATTTTCCCTTAACATGACACTTTCCTGTAAGGAAATGAACAAGGTAAGAGAGAGAAGCTTTTCATAATACCTTGTTTTTCAAGTTCACCAAGACTAAATGGTTCTCTGTTCCACCAGCCACTAGTTCATAGCCTTTATCCAGTAAGCTCTGCATATATTTTTTTTAATTAGAAACAAGGCCATCTACAAGGCAGTTACATACTTGAGAAACACGGCAATATACAGCACAACTGAGATATAAAGTTTAAGCAGACTACCACCAAGTACCTGCGAGAACCTTGAACAATTACTGAGAACTTGCTCTTGATAGGCCCTATATTCAGGGGTTTTAACCTACAGCCAACGCGGGTTACAAAAAATAAGCCCCCAAGGCTTTAAATGAAAAAGAATCTGCTGGGGTATGAGTTTGGCCTTACCTGCTTCAGTGCGACTGCTAAACCAGTAATTGTGTGATTGTGCGGACCACCTTGAAGTCCAGGAAAGACAGCCGCGTTAATCTTATCTTCATAGTCATACATCACCTGCACGAGCAGCTCGATCATAACGGGATGTGTCCGAAAATTGGGATTGAGTGACCAATGTAACAGCTTTAACAATGTAAGGATTTATGTTCCTGGTGTTTATTTCGGCAGTTCAAATTACCTCTTTCCCTTGTTTGTTAACTTCTTTCACCCCTTTCCTGAAGAATATCATAGCCCCACGAGGACCCCGAAGCGATTTATGAGTTGTTGTCGTCACAACATCAGCATATTCAAATGGAGATGGGATGACACTAGCTGCCACCAACCCACTGATGTGTGCCATGTCAGCCAACAAAACAGCTTTTTGCTTGTCGCAGACCTATCAAAATCACACAATGAATGTTGTGAGGGACATATCCCGACTAAGGAATTAATGTATACAAATGTGTATGCAAAAGATATGAGAGCTTACTTTGCGAATACGTGCATAATCATAGAGGCGTGCATAAGCACTTGCACCAGCAACTATGAGTTTTGGTCTAAAGAGTGCAGCACTATTCTCTAACTGCAAATTTTGGCACATGCAAATCAAACTCAGCTTTGAGAACCGATAGTGTTTGACAATAACCAGATAAAGCATGTTGAGTGAGCTCAATTGAAATGGACAAGCAGAAAGATATTCAGTATTCACAAAATTTTATGTGGCATAGTACCTGATCATAATCAATATAACCTGTACTCTCATTTAATCTGTATGGCATGGTCTCAAAAAATATGGACACAGCAGATATCTTCTTTGTATCAGTCTGCAAGATGCCCAGGAGAGAGTGAACCATATTAGTCATATTTAGCAGCATGTACTAGTTTCACATGCATGTTCGGATAGGTCTTGAATAGATGAATTAGCCAAGTACAATGTGACCTCTATAGAGTAGTTGTAGGAAACAACTTTATCTGTTTCAACTCAGCACCAATATCGATAATCACCTGATAACCATGTGAAAGATGACCTCCATGTGGCAGATCAAGGGCCATGATTCTCTCATGAGGTTTTAACAAGGCAGTATAAACTTGAAAGTTAGCAGGAGATCCAGATAGAGACTGCACATTGACTGCAACAAAGAAGAGACAAATGTTAAGACATCTTCACTCACTTCCGTTGGCGGGGATGATCATATGCTGTCTTCAGCGAAATTCTTATGTACTAACTACCACTTGTACTGGGGTGTAAGAATGCTGATGATACCAATTAAACAGCTGAATGTATGAATACTGCACAAGTCGAAGCACTTTGCCATTTGATGTTTAGGCATTTTTATTTTATTATGATGTAAGTAATTGCCGAATTATGTTCGATCAAATAGTCAACAATAGTTAGCAATGCATCACCAAGACGAGAAGAATCTTTGGAAAATATTTTCTCTTTAGTTGGTAAATTAAGCTCTTTTCTCAGCTGAAACAGAGCACTTCCTAGTACCATCAAGATAATGTCAATACCTATGTGATATAGATTCTAGCAATGGAACCTATGTGATATCTAATCTATCAGAAATGATCGCCAACTTTAAATTGCCTTGCATCAACATTTTGCTATCTTTGTGTAGAGCCAGTGATACCATCATACCAATTCACGTCAAATTTGTAACCCATCTCACTAAAAAGTTTTACCATTTCATGAAGCACCAACCAAGCCTCTTAACAATTTTAGCATCCTAATAAAATGAAGTGTGCAAGCATGAACAGCACACGAGCCAATACCACTTTCCAAACTTGCCTAAAAGCCACAAATTAACCAAGTCACAAATTCAGGCAGGGTTCTATGTTCATCAATGGAGAGCACTATGACAATCCTGAAGTTTGCCACATTTGGCAGAATGTGTTAATCCAGTAGCTGTTGCTATCACAAGAATGAATGATTCACTTACCTCCCCATTTTTCAGGATCCAAGTCAAAGGCTTCTAAAGCACGCTTCTGACATAAGCTCTCAGCCATGTCAATGTACCTAATTAAGAAACAAAAAGAAGGGGGGGAAATCTCAGCCAGAAATCATAGATGCAGTTTGGAAATTGGAACCAAGTTCTTAAGCTCTTCAGGCATATCAATGGCACATACTCGTTTCCACCATAGTATCTTGCTCCAGGGTAACCCTCACTGTATTTATTGGTCATAACAGAACCAACAGCTTGCATTACAGAAACTGAAGTGAAATTTTCTGAAGGTATAAGTTCAAGTCCCTGAAAGAAAGTTCAAATACAAATCCCCCATATGTCAATACCCAATTCTCGTAAATCAACCAGGGAACCAAAGATTTGCAAGAGCAGCAACAGTTTAACCAGAGATTCACAGCAAAGAAATGTCGATATGCTCATGCAATTGAATGCGGTACCTTCCATTGCCTGGCTTTCTCAAGTTCAATGATATCAGCTACTTCCGGATCGATTTCCTCGAGCGGTGCATTCAATTGCTTTATCCACTGAGAAGCAAAGGACAATCAGAAAACAATAACGAGAATTGCTCAAGTATTACCACCACTGCTACACTGCGCAACCGCGGATCTCAACGTTCAAACGATTCCAGAAAGAAACGTAAAAAATAACGGATAGAAAGGAAACAGAGGCTTACGGCGACGCGAGCGGAGTCTTTGCCGGAAACTGCTGGATTGGGCAAGGAAGACTGCAAAACCAGATCACAAGCGAATTCAGAAGCGGGAAAACAGAACGAAAACGGAAGAGCGATAGGTATGGCGAAAGCAACTAACCATGGAATAGAAGGAACCGCCACTGAAGCAAGGTTTGAAAGGAGACTTGAGAGTGGAGGAGAGCCTGCGGAGCGCAATCGCCGCCATTGTCGCTCTGTATTCTCTCTCTCGTAGTCTAGCTCGAAGCTGGGTTGAAGAGCTTGGGTGGTGGCGAGTATTGTTGGTACGTGGGACGTAAGGTAGAAGGTTACCTCGGTTGGTGGGGAATGGTGGTAGCGGCTGTGACAGTGGGGTTGGTGACGACTGACGACGCTGAGTGGGAAAGTGGTTTCCTCTTTTGTTTTGTTCTGATTTCTGAATTGAAAACTGGGGGAATTTTTTTTTTATTCGAAACTGGGGGAAATTTTGGATTGGGAGTGCTGACAATTTTTTATTTTTATTACCGAGTACAGCCTACATGTCGCAAATGAGTCGAGTCGAGTTTAGTTTTACCTGAATTCGAGCTCGGCTCATTAATAAACGAGTTGAGATAATAAAAAATTTCGACTCGTATTTGATATATTCATTTTGTATGTATTGTATAATATATGTGATTAGATGATATTATTATTATTATTATTAATAGTTAAGTGTTTAATATTAACTAATCTCATGTTATATTTTGCGGTATCATATTATTTAGTTAATAACTTTTAACTAGTCAAAATTATATTATTTCATAGTATCGAAGCAATTTATGATACATAATTTCTTTTTAAAATTAAATAAGACATATTTTCTCACGTAATCTACGTGTTAAACTTAATATAGAGTGATATATAATTTAACAATCCTATGAATTATCAAAATTAAACTCATATAGATCGATTTGCTCATAAGTCGGTACTCGAGTTGGCTCTTTAGCCACAATGTTGAGAGTTGAGACATCTCATGCGCTCTAAACGAGCTAGCTCATTAGTTGAGCTCAACAAGCCACCAAGTTGAGCTAACTCGCAAGCTTGGCGAGCTTCAGAAGACTTATGAGTAAACGAGTCGAGTTTCGAACGAGTTTTTCCTGAGTCAAACACCGAACAGCTCGCCAGAAGTTTGGCTCATTTGCAGCCCTACCTAGGAACCTCAGCCCCACGTGCCACTTTGTGACAGAAGGGCATACTAAACTTGGGGGCCACCTGCAATCAATTCGATACCAACGAGCCAGCAGCCTTATACCTCCGGAAACACCAACGAACCTCGCTTGGATCATAACCCGGGATCTGCAACTCACAAGTTTTCACTGTCGCGACAACTTTACTGTTAGGCTATCTTACCTTTGATCTCACAATTTTTTATATTTGTTGGGTTTGTTAAATTGGTGGTAGGCTGAAAGATGATTAGTAAGTATAATGAATAATTCATAATTGGTGGTTGGTGTGGGTTTACCTCGTTATTCCCGCACTTTCACCGCAGCGCTCTTCGTTCTTTAGTTGTCAGTCTCAGCATCGCCGACTATTTAATGAAGATATTCTATCTGTGTAAAGAACTAAGAAATTCAATTTAAAACAAAGAAAAGAAAAATCAATTAAGCAAAGTAGGAAAAATAAAAATTTATTAATTCTCATAAGGTTAAATACACTTGTATATCCAAAACTTTCGCGGTCGTGCCAATAATATCCAAATTTCCCGAAATACCACTTATATCCAATTCCTTCACATTCTTTAATGGTGTTTTTGGATATACAAGTGTATTTAACCAAAAATATATTGGGAAATGGGTAGATTTGGCAAAGAAAAACTTTAAAACATGGATATAAGTGGTATTCCGAGAAATTTGGATATTATTGGCACAACCGTGAAAGTTTTGGATATACAAGTGTATTAAACCTTCTCATAATCTGGCCCACTTAAAACTAACGGTCTATATTTGATTATGCAAGTCTGTGTGCATTATCAAGAGATGTACACTATGGGACCGAATCGAGTGCTCAACTTTGTGGTCAAGAAGACAATAACCATACATAACTCAATTAGAATCCGCCACATCAGCACCACACTCTCTCTTATGGAAAACTTTTAATCTTTTCCCCTTTAATATTTAACGGACGATTTATCTCTCGTTTTATGTCATAATTTAAAAAAATTTGCACAGATAAATCAGATTAATTGTGATCTTCAAAACTATATCCACTTTGATATATTTTTGAAACAAAAAAAATTTGAGACATGTTTTATCAGTCTATACCATGGTGGTATTGATCGGTATTAAAATAAGAGCATACCATATTGTATGAACATACCCAAGACTGTAGGATTGTTGAATACATGATAATAGGAGTATACTAACTGTCATTTACCACTTTCAACATTGTGTGCCACAAGATACCACCCCATATCCAGGGTGGTATTGTGTAGTATTTTTTGGTCCTGTATTTTGTTCACTCATAAATTTCAAACTTTGTAGATCCAATAGATCATGATGAACTCGTTCCTTTTGTGCAAAAATTTACAAAAAAAATTTAAAAACAACGGAGATACCATATAGTATGTAGTTGATAACGAGAAATAAGAAATATTTGGTAAGTAATGTATTCATAACTTGGTATGGTTTCTTGTTTTTTAATGGAGTAAAATTTAAGCGCATGAAATATCTGGTAAGTAATGTATCCATTTGTCATCTATAAAATTATATTCACTTTCAATATTTCGAGAGAAAAAAATGTGTACCACTCTGCGCCAATTCTGTATTAACTAAAAAAAATTAAAAATTTTGCAACAAAAAGGGCTCATCATGATCTATTATGATCTACAAATTTCTAAAAAGAAATTCCATATGATATATATCACCATGATATAGGATGATAAATGGTGGAAGTCAGATGCCACATATAAAATACTATTTTAGATCCTTCCGTATTATTATTAGAATTGCATAGTTTTCATATATTTATAGTCATAATATATTGACTTTGCTACATGATCACTCGAAATACGTTTTAGTAGCACTAGGCTTTCTTTTATCATTTTGATGCATTGTTGGTAGTGTTTCATGTGTGTTTCAGTGCATAGCATCATAGTGGACTGCTTTATACATTTTGGAGGACATCCGGACTCGACTGTTAGGAGACAAAAGGGGGAATGAAGAGAGGTAAGAAAACATCACTTGATTCAGTGGACCAAACACCAGAACGACACCTAGGTTGATGTTTTGTGACCCGTCCAGAAGATGTTGAATCTAAGAAAAGGAAAAGTCTTTCTTGCACTCAATTATTCGATCACTCTTGCTCTCAATCTCTATATAGAAAAGATAATCTATTGATTGAGGAAGAAAATTACAAAGAAGTACGAATTACGCTGAGACCCTAGGTCAAGCCAAACAGAGTTGGCCCTTTGACAAAACAAACAAGAAGAACTCTACTCTTCCCAAACCTAATTCACCCAGCACCTTGCACTGTGAATTAAGTAACTCGAAGAGACGCTAATCGGACCAAAAGAAGACAAATACGCTCTCTGCTATTTTCTTCTACAACACTCGGTCAAATCTTAATTTAGAGAAGAGATGGCTATTTATACTGAATCAAAAGGGATGACCGTTGGCGGATCCATGGACGCTCCTCTGAAGATTTCATCATTGCTCTCCCGGAGTCGGTGATTTCTTGAGGAAGATCACCAAGTTCGGTTTTGCTGCGCTTTCTGAGAATGCATAGGTGGGTGGCTAGGGTTGAGCAGCTCGATGATTTCCTTCTCTCGACGAAGACTTGGAAGGACGATTCTTCTGCTTTTTTCCGTTGGTATTCAGACGACGTCGTGTGGTTAAGATGGCGCGTTGAGTTGTGAAAACAGCATCGTTTAGTTGTCTTGACAAGAACGGTATCCTCCTCCATTCTTCAATTTCCCCCTTCGTCCGACAAGTCCGGCGATTTCTGCAAAACAACACACAGGACAGAGCAGCACTCGAAGAAAAGGAAAGATCTACCATTAATTAATCCGAAACAAGCAGGGAGATTACAAAATAGAGCAGCCAACTTCTTAAGAGCTTCCCCCTGGGAAAGATCATACATCTAACTAGCAGACAACTAAAAACAAACTACAGAGCTACACCTACAACTAAAGGAAGCTAAATTTAGAGGGAGATTCCCCCTTAGAAACAGCAGGTAAATTAGGGAACTGGAGAGGTAGGGTCTTCAGGGTCTTCTGGGGCAGAGGCAGCTGACTCATCCGAGGAAGAGTTTCCATCAGATACAGTGAATACAAGATTAGCATTTTTGCTGGACTCTCCAACAACAGACTTTCCTTTGTTACCCCCAGCAGATTTTGGACGAGCACCAAGAATGGAAGAGGAGGGAAGTGGTGGAGGTGGTGGAGCAGTGTCTGTGGGAAGATCTAGGACCATTAGAACATTGAGAGCGCCCACATACATGGTGTGTGAAACGCTCCGATAGTCAGATAGATCAATGCCTAGATTGATGAGCATTCGAGTTATGATGGACCCGAATGGCATGAAGCCTTGATAATGCTCGTCTCCTACTGGAAGGAGATTTGCAAACATCAGGCTGGAGTAATCCAGCTTTCGCCCAGCAGTGGCACTGGCGATGATCCATAGGTCGAGTGGCAGAACCACATCAAGATTGTAGGTTCTAGGGAAGAAGACGTGAGTGATGAAGTGATGGAAGATTCTCAACCGTGGTGTTAGCCAGTTGATGGGAATTGGCACGTCTGTCCCTCCTGTGGGTTCAGTGGAAAAGTTTGAGTATTCAGTAGGTAGAATGAAGTTTTGCTTCCAGAACTCTGATGGATGAGCTATGTCGATTCCTTGAGATGGGAACCCTAGAATCCCGTTGAGAGCTCCTACTGGAATGGTCAAAAGATGACCATAAACGACTGTGGAGAAGCTTCTGGTGCTGAGTCCTTGGCAGCAAAGGTTCGAGTAGAAATACTTGAATGCACCGGGACAGGCTAGGTGAAGTGGCCGTCGGAGGAGATAATCCCATCCCAGAGCTTCTATAAGGGACATAATGTCGTACTTATAGAAGTTGAATTCATAGGGATCAATTTGGATTATGTGGTGCAACCTCCTATTCTCGAAATGCTGAAGATGACGATGGTGGTTTATTACCACAGGCTCATGGAACATATAGCCTGGATAAGTGTGGACCAACCCATCAAAACGAAAGGGTCGAGGCAATTGATCACTCATTTTGGGTTTGCTTGATGTGTTTTGTTTGGTGTTTGTGAGGGCAGTGTGAGGAGTTGAGGAAGAGAGGGTGGCTTAAATAAGCTAGAAGAGCTGAAGAGGAGCGGGAAAGGAGAAGAATACGAAGAGTCTGTTTTGCCTTAACCGAGAGTAATGATTACAGAAAAGGGAAAAAGATACGCATGAGCTGAAAAGAAATATTTCGTTTAAGTAAAT